GATAGATATATAGTGAGCCATTTTTAACTGAAAAATAAAGTCACAAAATATAGTTTTTTTGTGTTTTTCGACCCTCAAAATTAGCGTATTTGTAAAATGGAAAAATGCAAAACAGTTCAAGATACAAATACTTTTTCAAGGTATTAGGTATTCTTCTTTTGGGCAATACAAGAATTGTTCCTCTTAGGATTGTTTTTTATAGTAACTGACAGTGGTGAGGAAATACCTAAGGTGGGAAGCTTGAAAGGAACAGACAACTGACAGCAAGAGCAATGCTCACACTGAATGCAAATTTTCATGCGAGATAGATCATTCAATGTTCGAGAGGGCGAGCAAGGAGTCGACGTGCACATGTGCACACAAGCAAAACAGCAGGGTGATCTCTACCAATTACATCCCCTTCAGAATTTACTCTTTAATCATTGCTTCTGCTGTATTAAATCTATGGCAGTATATCAGAAACCAAATCGTCTTTGCCAAATTATATTTGACAAGAGAACACTTAATCGAAGGAAAAAAACATTGCAGACATCAGCATTCAATTTCTTGCTGCACAAATGACATGTCTACCTTAGCAAGCTCAGTCCAGGTCGAGGTGTCTGTCTCTGACTCCATCTTAATGAAAATGACATAGACTTTCCCCTCAGAGTCTGGCAGCATCGTGTCCTCACACGGGTTCTTGGTGTGGTCCAGCACTTCTGCCTCCCTGAAATCACAAACTTTGGCTTAATGTCTATCAATCCAAACTTCTCTTAGTTATTCATTTCAATAAATATCATGCTCAGTGTCTCATCTAAATCTCACTCACCGAAGTAGGTTTTGGATTTCCACTTCATAAGCATCCTTCTTTAAGCTGTGAGAACAAGTAGGAAAACACTTGTTCCACTGTTGTTCTTGACTTCCTCGATATCATTAAACCAAGGAATGGCAGGCATTTTATGTCCAGTCTATAAAAGCCTGAGTCATTTGGCTGTACACACCTGTTCACATTCTTCAACTGCACGTGAGGCACTGTGTTGAACTTGTGTTTCTTGAAATATACCTCCTATGTAAAAAAAAAAATAGAAACGAGATGATCAATTTCCGGTAATATGCATTAAAATGAAGTGAATAAACTCGACTAATATTTGAAAGGGATTTCGTTCGCCAAGGTTGCTCTGAGTCCCGCTCTGCCCCTCTGTCGTATGGTGTTTAACAGGGTTCTATTTTGGGGGCCATGCTGTTTTCATTGTATTTGCTGCCCTTAAGTTCCACCCTAAGAAATCATGGTATTTCTTCCCACAGCTATGCGGATGACAGTCAGATTTATTTTCTCCTGAGCAAAAAGGATGAGTTCTCCTTATGACCACTTTTGTTCCGACAAGAGGAACTCAAAGCATGGATGTCATTGAATTTCTTAAATTTCAACAAAAATAAAACAGACATGATAGTATTTGGTCCCAGTGGCCCTTGTACATACCACCGTGTGGACCTGGGCCCCCTTGTGTCAAATCGCATATTCAGTTTAAATTCATCTCTCCTTTTATTATTTATAATTTTATCTGTGGTTTTATTATTCTTGTTTTGGTTGTAAAGTGTCCTTGAGTGTCTTGAAAGGCGCTTATAAATGAAATGTATTATTATTATTATTATTGTTATTATTATTATCTAAATCAAATAGTCTTGAACTTGGGTTTTTAATTGAGCAGTGATTTTAAATTGGACTGGAAAAACGGTACTATTGTTAAATCCAGTTTCTTTCATCTGGCTAATGTAAAGTCCTTCATTTCTCAGCAGCACTTAAAAACAGTAATCTCAGCTCGACTACTGTAATGCACTTCTTTTTTGGAGTCAGCCAGTTCTCCAACAAGCGTGTCCAGTTGGTAGAAATGCTGCTGCTTGCTTCCTAACTAGACCTCGTAAGAGGGAGGCAATTCTGGCTTCCCTTCATTGGCCCCCCCAGTACATTTTACAGTTCATTTTAACATATTTCTATTTGTTTTAAAATCTTTAAATGGCATCGCCCTATCATACCTCTCTGAGCTCCGGTGCCACAGGTCTGCGGACAAGACACTACTGGAGGTGCCAAGGACGAAGCAGAGCATCAGAAAGGATGGAGCCTTTTGTTTTGCTGGTCCTTCCCGCTGCAATGACCTTCCGCGAAATGTTCGGCAAGCCCCCTCTCTGTCCATTTTTAAAACTCGTTTGAAGACACTGGTTTATTCTTTGGCTTTTGACCCAATATGAGACTGACACTGTTCTCTTGGTTTTTGGTGTCTACTCTATACAGTATGTGTTAGCATAATTAATTTGTGTTTTAATTTACCGTTTTCACTTTCTTTTGTTTCTGTATTATTGTTATTTTATGTTATATGTAAAGTGCTTTGTTATAGCTGCAGCTGTTGTGAAACATGCTATACAAATAAAGCTCCATTGCATTGTATATTTCACATCTTACATGAAAATATCCATTCATGTTGAGGCCGATGATGCCAAAGTGGTAGGAGCGGGAAACATCAGGTATGATACACTCTCTGCCCTTCCTCTGCTCTGGCATTCGCATCCACATGTCCCAATCCCACAACTAAAGAGAGACAGATACCAGATCAGCATCACAACAACAAGGCCAACAACACAACCCACTTATTTGAAGTTTTCACATCATCGGCTACCACTGTGTAAATTAAAACACATGTGACACACGTGGTTTATTTCTGCCATTCACTCTGCTTCTGCAACCACACAATTTGAAAATTTTGTCTTGACTGTAAAATCGGCTCCAGTTAATCATCTGATGTCAGTTGTTTTGTCCCTACCAAGTCATCCATAGAGATTAGCGCACATCTTGACATGTGCTATAATTATATTTGATGTTTAATAGAGTTAGTCTCAAGAGTAGGAGCAGCAATAATTTAGTTATCACTCAAAGGGGAAGGCAGAGCAGAATCGTTTGTATTGACTAGCAATATAAAGTATTTTTACATACTTAAATTATTTTCCTTTAAAAACATCTGTCTTCAGATGATCAATAAGAACTTTACAAAATAAACAATGGTTTGCCTCAACTCAACAAAATGCCTTTTGTTTAGGATGAATTACAAAAAAATACAATTAATTGTGAAATCAATTTTGATACTTCCAACCTGTCTGGAAAAACATACCATATTTTCCGCACTAAAAGACGCACTGGATTATGAGGCGCACCTTCAATGAATGGCTATTTTGTAAATTTTTTTCATACATTGAACACTTCATATTATAAGGCGCAATCCACAATGCCTCCACTATATGGTGCTATGCTCCTTCCATTCAACTCGAGAGGCGTACGTTCAACTTGAGAGGCGTTCATGACCGCCTCTGAAAAACGTAAATTAACTATTACTGTACTTAAATGAAACTACAAAAATTGAAAATAATGCATCAAAACAGAAAATCAAGCGAGGAAATCACAAAATAAATTCTATATCACCCCGACAGAATTTATTTTGTGATTTCCTCGCTTGATTTTCCTCGTGGTTTCATTGAAGTAATAATTAATTTACGTTTTTCGGAGGCGGCCATGAACGCCTCTCGAGTGGAACGGAAGAAGGCACGAAGACATACAGTACCTGTATTTGTTGAGACTGTGAAAACCATTAATAAAGTCTGCATTTTAAAAAAAATAAAACCACAGCTCTCCTTTTTTCAACAAATACCGGTGAGTCTTTGCCCGTCTCCGGGCCTTCTCTTCTGTTCAACTCGAGAGGCGTTCATGACCGCCTCCGAAAAACGCATTGGCATTTCCTTGATCATAGCGCCCCGACGACTACGATCAGATGTCGGTAGTAGTTATTTATTCCTTTGTTGTGTATTCACAAATGATGAATATAAATATAAATTCTGTAGGGGTGTCTATAGAATTTATTTTGTGATATCCTCGCTTCATTTTCAGTTTTGATGTGTTATTTTCAATTTTCGTAGTTTCATTGAAGTAATCATTAGTTTACCTTTTTCGGAGGCGGTCTTGAACGCCTCTCGAGTCGAACGGAAGAAGGCATGTAGACAGACAAAGACGTACCTGTATTTGTTGAGACTGTTTTAAAAAATGAACACCACAGCTCTCCTTTTTTCAGAGCTGCAACAAAAACTTATTTAATAAAGCAGCGACACAGTGCACTGAACCAACAGCAAGTTACAACATTGGAAGCATGTCTCCAGGAAGGAGCCATCTTGGAGTCGATGTATTACCGTAATGACTATACAAAAGACGCACCGGATTTTAAGGCACTCGGAGAGTTTTTAAGAAAATTGAAGACTTTTTGGTGCGCCCGATAGTGCGGAAAATACGGTAATTTCTTTCAACAAAAACTCAGAAAAGGCTTACAAGCACAAACATTATTAGATTTAAATAAGAGTTTTCATTTAAATTATATACAACTGCAGAACACAAACAACAATTATCTGACTGAGCTGGCACAATGACTACTGGTGGAAGCCAGATCAAAGCAGAGGCGATTGCTCTATGACTGCAAGGGAAGCTCAGCTTCCCCTAAAATGTCCAAAAATAAGTGATCAAATACATGTGTGTACATACAATTGTGTGTACGTCATTGACTAAATATGCGCTACAACGCGCTCAACTTTTTTCCGAATCAGGTTCTTATTACTGGTTACGACGCGAATCTTCTCATTCATTCCCGCAGCTTCACTGTGCTTTAAACTGCGTGGACGCTGAGCGTCTACAGCGCGGACGCTGAGTGTCTCAAGAGTTCAGTGTAGGTTGTCCTAATGCATTGAAACGAGACGAGTCATTGGATAAATGCTGGTTTTGTCCCGCCCATTGGACACTCAGCGTCTCTGGGAGTCTATGGACAGTGGGCGTTTATGGGGTGGCCCGGACGCTGAGCTTTTCTGCATGATGATTGGATGATCTGTCTGAGGCTGAATCTCTTTTGGATTGACAGCAAAATGAGCCAATCACCGATCTTTTGGTGTAGGCATCGTGAGAGCATTTTTCAATTTTCATTCTGTGTTGAACTGGCGACTTCTTCTTATCATCTGAGCGACACTCTCTTTGTTGAAAACGACTAGCGACAAAATAATCTTTCGTTTCTGGTGGGTTTTATTGTGGTTGCTGTAGTTGTAGCACACTAGTTAAGTCCCTGGAAAAGACGCCTTGTTGGTATGACAGGGTCACAGATAATTTTCTTGAAAATGAATGGAGAGTAGAATCCACGTGTAAATAAACGGACACATTTTCTGATGTAGGCCGGAATTGAGCTTCCCCTCCTCGACAGACCAGCATCCGCCACTGGATCAAAGGTATGGTAATACACATATCGCTGTACAAGTAGAATCACCAATGCAAACTTAGGTACCAGAGTGACTTAAGTACACTTAACCCAGAGAAAAGAAGAATCCTGCACCTTCTCAGGTGTTGGCCATTTTGGCTCCAGTTCATCCTTATAGAGGCTCTTTTTCAGGACCCACCCCAGGCCAGGCATATTCTCCACTCTGTAGAGCAAAGCGGGATCTTCTGCTGTGTGTTCATAGCCCTTCAGAACACAAAGATATATGAAGCGACTGATGACAACTAGTTAGAATGTTGTACCTACAAGTGTATATTTTGTGAACCAGAGTATCCTCAGTACGTTGCAACCAATAGACTAAAAATGGTAGATCCCAGTCACTTCTGTATGACTGTCCAAACTTGAGTTTGGACAGCCATAGAAAGGAAGGCCACTTAAGCAGCCATCTCGTTACCTCTGCGTCCCGCGTCCTAGACGCACAATTTTCCTGCGGGACACACAGTTCTAAATAATGTGCGTTTTTGGGACGCAAGGAAATTTCTCAGTCAAAACAAAACAAAAAAAAAATAAAATCACGGCAGGCCTGAGGATTTCACGGTAACGACCGTTACAGTGTCAATTCCGTGGCGTCATTTTGACGGTACCGAAAAATCGTTTCCCATAAAAGTCACCGCACATGAGTTGACTGTACGCGATCGAATCTCTCCTGTGTGATCAACGCAATTTCACTGTGCCTGTATGTGTGTTTGTGGTGTGGTGTGTGAGTGTGTTTCTTCTAATTTACTTTTGTTTTGTTTTGTCTTCAGTGTGGGGGGGCGGAACGGATAACGTTATGTGTGCATGCGAGTTGCTCTTTTAGTCCGCAAACTGAGAAATCGCACGGATGACAGTTTGAGATGCCGGCGAAATAAAACACACAAAGGTCCACTAATTACGACATTTAACAAATGGGAATGCCAGTCTGATTTTTATTATGAATCGTCCGAAGGGCGTATCACTAAACTCACCTGTGACGTATGCACACAACACGAGAGCGAGATACGACGGGAGGCACGATTACGAGGCAAGTTGGTCATTAGATCTATAGGCTAATCGCTATGAAAAACATTTAACAGTCTTGGTTATTCTATAATTTACTGGTTGTAGCATGGTAACTTTATGAATAAAACATTCGTCACAAGGGGTAGTAATGCTAATGTTAACTGTCGGTAGAACTAACAATGACTTGTGGTAGATTCTTTCATTAAATTGATAGCAGATTACACATGCATTGTCTTGGGAAGAGGATGTCAAGCCACACCAATACTTACCTGTATTAATGATTACCAGTAAATTAATCTTTGCAGTGTGAGACTGGAAAAAAATACTCTGATTTTGTGGTATGCTGTATTCATAATGCCACATGAGTACAACATATTTTGATCCATTTATTTTGTTGAATAAACCTAGAGTACACAGCTGCCGAAGTAATGTTAATTGTTAATGCATAGTTTTCAAACATTTACCCTTGAAACATACTTTTGAGTATCAGAATTCTTGATTAAGAATATCAGTCAAAATAGAAAAATGGGTTCCCTGGATGAACATTTACAGAACCCAAAATTAGTTACCGTGGTTTCCCATTGGGTAATCCGACGGAACCGAAAAACGGTTACCGTGAATTTCCTCGGGCCTGCTACGGTGCATCTTTTTTCCCGCAATGATCACAGTTTGACAATCGCCACCATTGTTGTTTTGATTTCACGTTAAGTAATCTCGCGTGACAAGATTTCCGTTCTCACGAGACAAGATTGGCGAGATCGGCCTTCACCTCTCGGAATCAGACGATTGCCAAGTTGTGTAACATTAAAACAAGTGTTGAGAACAAGTGTTGCAAAAGTTTATTGCGGAGATATAACAGAGGAAGCAGCTAAAGTTGGATAGTTTTTTGCGATAATAAGTTGACTTTGAGAAAGCCTTGCATCATTGGAAGCAGAGTAAAGAGAGAATTCATGAACTCAAAGACTGAACCATGGGAGGAATATAAGAACCTATTTCTCAGCAAATCTTGTTTGCCTGAATTATTTCAATTTTTGCAGCATTTGTTTATCAGAAGTAAGCTTATTATCAATGTATATTAGTTGTTGTTTGTGTTATTATCATATGCAATTGAATAAGTAGACCATTTCAGAATTCGAAATTTGGGACTCTCTAAATGCAGAACGGGACTCATACTTTTCTGATCAGCGAGTCCCTGGGACTCGCTGGGGTTAAATTGTAAAATTATAACTGCTTAAGTATTTGAAAATACATGGTTTCTATGGTAACTACTGTTTACAAATAAGAGCAAATCCGACATTCTCAGGGTTCTTTGCAAAAAACAGATAACGGTACATCAAAATTAACTATACTAAGTTTTCTTGAAAAGAACAAAGCAGTTTATTCACCTGATCATTCCAGGCTGAGATGCAATACAGGCTGTCATCTTCATCCAACAGATGGATGGTCTGACTCAGGAAGCTAGTAGCACCACCAAGAGCAAAATTGGATTTTCATCAATTATACAACATTTTGCTTTTCGATTATTTACAGTTTTTCAAAACATTACTGAGTTACAGCGCGTAATAAAATACACAGTTCAGTAAATTCAGCAGGTATTCATGCTTACTTTACGGCAGTGTTTCTCAAATAGTGAGGCTCTGTCAAAGGGAGCGCGTTTGACCTCTGGGAGTTTTTTTCCGCGAAAACGTGCCGAATATTGCCATCAATCTACTACTCGTAGCCATTAATCCAGATAGCATCTTTGATTATAAAAAAATCAGCACAAATTATTTTATATATTTTTGTTTTGCTGGTTTAAGTTTTTTGAAATATTGTGCTCTGAGATAATGTTGGTGATTAGTTTCAATGCATTATTAGTTATTGGTTTTATGTAATTTTATTTTTCAGCATCGTATGGTTTGACATGGTCAGTCAAAAAATATTTAATAGTTATTTTTGAATTTCTTTCTTTTTTATTCTCTTATACGTTAATAAGGATACAGTATTATGCAAAGATGTACTTATAACAATATTATAGACAAATGATACTATTTATAGTCGGGTGCGGGGGGGGGGATGTTTTCCTCTTCCGAGGTGGGGCATGACAGAAAATAATTGAGAGCCACTGCTTGAGGGAAACATTCGCTTGTGGTGATTCAACTTGGTGTAGAATTATTATATTAAATGACCAAATATGACCAAGAACATTACATTTGGGTAAGAATGACAAGAATTATAAGATTCATAGTATAGTAGTATATTCGGTAAGAAAACTGAAAAAATATATCTATTTTGACTTGAACATGGTTTAGAAATGTTTTGGATTGCTTTCGAGAAAACACCTCTTACAATAACACCAAACAAGTGTAAAAGGTCAGCCAGCTGTCCAACAAAGGCATGGTTTGAAACTGAACAACAGATGTTCCCCCCGAAACATCTCCTGCCCTCCGATGGACATTTTTTTTAGTTTCATAGTTAAAGGTTCAATGCAATCCAATACAAAACATGGTGTTTTATCAAAAAGCATTTGTGTAATGAACTATAAAGTCAGCTGCATACAAAGTAACACGGCCAAACCCAAATAAACTGTCACGCACTGTGTGGGGTTCACTAACGAGTTTTCCTGCACGGTCAAATGCCATTTTGTTGCAATTCAAAATTATAATTGCAGGTGAACAGTTGAATGGCAATATCGCAGATCTAACAGTCAATCAAAAAACGACATCTGAGCCTTCACAACAAAAACAAATGTTTCCCGAGTATGACGCATAACCCAGCCAACCACTGCTAAGCCAAACCAAAACAATCAAAACAATATATTTTATCGATACTGTTGCTCGGACTGTGGCGGGCCGAAGGACGCTGCATCTTTATGGAATCAACTAGTTGAGAGCAATGTCATAAATACAAATGAATGTCAAGTATGTACAGGTAACATAAAGAGGTTCCAGCACACCTGAAAAAGTCAATGGAGATGTCCAAATCTTCCTCTAACACAATAGCATTTTTCGCCTCCTGGAGGAAATAGGGATAAAAATAATTATAAACTTGAATAAGGTTTCCAAATTTGAATAGAATGAATTTACCTTTTTTCATTTAAAAAAATACATCTTAAATTGACTCACCATAGTATTCAAAATTTATGAAACAAATTCAAATGCCAGTAGTAAAAAAATCAACAATTGGAAAAATTGCTTTTGATTTCAACAAATGAAGAGGAATTCGTTATGTCAACTCAAACAACCCTTTTCAATCAAATACAAAATTATAAGAACAATCATTTGGCGCTTTCCACGACCAAATACACGAATCCATATATAGGACACTTAAAAGACACTGATCCATTTTGTTGGCCGTTCATGTACTGTATAAATAAAGTACTCACTGGGTGTAGGTTAAAAGTTGCTGTCAGACTGGCCTTGTAGTGCTGTGATAAAGAAGGAGAAAATCAACTCAAAGCAAACTGTTAAAGTGTTAGAAATAAGTAATCATTTTTGGGTTGTTTTTTTTTTTTTTTAATACCGCTATCTTTCAGGGAATGGAAAAAAAAGTGCACACAGAGTTGGGAAAATCTCACATTTTTATTGAATTTATTGGCATAACTTATTTTAAAGTTGTGTTGTCACAATACCAACATTCTTACTTTGATAGTAGACCTGCAAAAAATATCTCAAAATACTCGGACAAAGCAATGGTACCGGTAATAATAATAGCGGACATTTAATCAACTTCAGATTCTGTTTTGTATATATTAAAACATTTTAAAAAATATTATAATTCTTGTATTTATTCATTTTAATGAAAAGTAATTTCAGTCCAATGCAATGTTGAGTGTTTACCTGTGACACTCTAGCATTCTTGATGCTGATTGGTGTATGCTGAACTCCCTTCAGTCCAAACAGCGCCACCACATCCATCGGCTCCTGAGACATGCATAAAAAAACTATTTATTGTAAATATCTATTTTATGTGTGTGTATATATATATATATATATATATATATATATATATATATATA